CAAGAAGATGCAATCAACCCACCCCATTCTCTTTTGTCTTACTTCTGTTATTTTATCATAAAACTCCAGAAGGTTTGTGACACAGGATTTGCCTTCCGTGAATCCGTGCTGGTTGGCATTTATACTCTTGTTCCGTTCCAGGTGCTCCACCACTCTCCTCCTGATAATCTTCTCCATAATTTTGCATACTATACACGTCAATGACACAGGTCTATAGTTTAGTGCCTCTTTTCTGTCTCCTTTTTTAAAAATGGGAACTACATTTGCCGTCTTCCATACCTCAGGTAGTTGCCCAGTTTCCAGGGACGTGTTGAAGATTGTGGTAAGTGGCATGCACAACATATCTGCTCCCTCTCTAAGGACCCACGGGGAGATGTTGTCCGGTCCCACATACACGCACACACACACACACATGTGTGTGCACGCACATGTGTGTGTGTGTGTGTGTGTGTGTGCATGCACATGTGTGCGTGTGCATGCACATGTGTGTGTGTGTGTGTGCATGCACATGTGTGCATGTGTATGTGCATACGTGTGTGTACGTGCATGCATGTACATGCATGCGTGTGTGTGTACGTGCATGCATGTGTGTACATGCATACGTGTGTGTGTACTCACCTGTGTTGGCAGTGGTTGAATTATAGCTCCTGGTCCCACCTCTTCAGGTTCCTCAACCAGCATTACTGGTCTGTGGCCTCTGGAACCCTATCATACTACACCTCACGTTTGTTACAACATTCACCTCACGTTTGTTGCAACATTCACCTCATGTTTGTTGCAACATTCACCTCACGTTTGTTGCAACATTCACCTCACGTTTGTTGCAACATTCACCTCACGTTTGTTGCAACATTCACCTCACGTTTGTTGCAACATTCACCTCACGTTTGTTGCAACATTCACCTCACGTTTGTTACAACATTCACCTCACGTTTGTTACAACATTCACCTCATGTTTGTTGCAACATTCACCTCATGTTTGTTGCAACATTCACCTCACACTGAAAAATTACTTCCATGACACTTCTAACATGTCTAAATCTTCCTGGAGGACTCCACTATCCCTCCACTGCTTGCATGACACTGCTTGCATGACACTGCTTGCATGACATTGCTTGTATGACACTGCTTGTATGACACTGTTTGCATGACACTGCTTGCATGACACTGCTTGCATGACACTGCTTGCATGACACTGCTTGTATGACACTGCTTGCATGACACTGCTTGCATGACACTGCTTGCATGACACTGGTTGCATGACACTGCTTGCATGACACTGCTTGCATGACACTGCTTGCATGACATTGCTTGTATGATACTGCTTGCATGATGCTGCTTGCATGGCACTGCTTGCATGACACTGCTTGTATGACACTGCTTGTATGACACTGCTTGTATGGCACTGCTTGTATGACACTGCTTGTATGACACTGCTTGTATGACACTGCTTGATGGCCAGATGCTCCCCTGCCATACACTCACCCACGCTCCTCGCCACCACACTACCATACTCACCACTGCCTACTCCCTCTGCTGTGTTTTCTGCTGTTTTTCATGTGATTCATTGCCAGAGCTGTGTATCCGAGTGCCCAAAGCCACTCGAAGCTACGTGGATCAGCATGCCACGTAGATCAGCATGCCACGTGGATCCCGACGCCACGTGGGTGTGGGCGATGTCACGTGGATCTACCAGCCACATGAGTTACCAGATGTCCCAGGCCTCATGCTGTGGTCTGCTGCCTGCATCACATTGACGTCACCGACGATGCTGCCCGACTTCATGACGTCACAATGTCTGCCTGACGTCACCTCGAGATGTCTGCTGACGTCACAGTGCTGCTGACGTCACCTCGCGACATCACGCCTGACATCACATGATGTCACCATCGAGTGTTCAGTTATTATTTCAGTATTGTCGAGAAGATCGAGAGAAGATATATGTCGTGTTAATTAATTCCTCTCAGTCAGTGTTCTCACATTTTAGTATGTCTTAGTCAGTTTTATGCACAGAAAAGCATCATTTGCTAGTTTAAGCCATGTTGTACCACAGTGTGTGTAAAGTTTCCGTGTGTCCAGTGAGGTCTGAGCCAGACCTGAGTAGCACCACTGTGTTAAGTCACCCGTGTGACCAGTGTGTTTGACAGCTGATTACTCAGCCCTGAGCGTATGAGCCCTCTTGTACAGAAAGCTTTTATGCTCGTCGCTCGTGATGTTCTGCAGAATCGTACCTGCTACGATTCCCATCGAGATTTGTTTCACTTCACCTCCAGACCTTCAGAGTGCAGTTATATGTAGAGAAACAAGTCTGGGGACGCTTAGACTAACCTCTGCTATAACTCCAACTGCCGAGAGAATGACACACTGTGTCAGCCTCGTGTCACAAGCTTCAGTGAGCAGCCTGCACAAAGAAGATGTCACTCTGACTGCTAGCTCTCTCACTGCAGTCTGGTGTATGATGTTACGACTCCCAGATGTTTCGCCCAGTCGTCTCTGCCACGACTCGCTCCACAACTTGCTCCACGCTCACCGGCAGTGACAGCCCAGTGACAGTACCAGTCGAGAAGTGTCCTGAGTCGCTTGCCAGAAGTCCTGCCCAGTTGCCGAGTTTTGTCGATGCCTCACTCGAGGGCACCAGCATGTCGTGCCCCAGGTTGAGTGAAAACCTGCAGCGACTCCTACGATGACTGCTTCACCGTTCCAGAGGAGACCGTAACCTGTTACGTCACAGCTCAGCCGCAGCAATGTCTCCCGTGTTGCAGTATGTCCAGACGCAGGAAGGTGTGCAGTGATGCCCTTCGACGCTCATTGCCTATGACCACGATGTTTAGCACACCCCACATGTTTTTTCTTCCCTCCCTGTAGGAAGTTTTTTTTCCATGTCCATATGTATATATATGTTTTTATTTTGTGTTCTGTGCCCTGTTCCTACGAGAGAGAGACCGAGTTTCTTTTACTACCAGTATTGTCGCGTCGGGACGATGCGCGGTAGGTGGCCGAGCGTATGTAGACAGCCTGTACTGTCTGCACAGACAGCCCATGCTGTCTGCCAGCTTAGTTCATATTTCGCGCCATGCTGGTGCTGCCACCTATAGGCCTTGCCACTTCAGTATGCCCAGACTTGCCTCACCCTCACTCACACAGCGGCCTAGCAGGAAGACACAAGTACTAGTAGCTATCTCTCGTGGGATGGCCCTGCCCGGGCCATGGGCCCAAACACACAAGCCTGTGTACCCACCACGACATTAACAATAAACTAAGAAGCCTCCGAAGAAGACGTATCATTAACCACCCGCTTGCAGCACCTACCAAACAAACCCGTTATACTGCTTGCATGACACTGCTTGCATGACATTGCTTGCATGACACTGCTTGCATGACACTGCTTACATGACACTGCTTGCATGACACTGCTTGTATGATACTGCTTGCATGACACTGCTTGTATGACACTGCTTTTATGACACTGCTTGTATGACACTGCTTGTATGACACTGCTTGCATGACATTGCTTGCATGACACTGCTTTTATGACACTGCTTGTATGACACTGCTTGTATGACACTGCTTGCATGACACTGCTTGTATGACACTGCTTGTATGACACTGCTTGTATGACACTGCTTGCATGACACTGCTTGCATGACACTGCTTGCATGACACTGCTTGCATGACACTGCTTGTATGACACTGCTTGCATGACACTGCTTGCATGACACTGCTTGCATGACACTGCTTGTATGACACTGCTTGTATGACACTGCTTGCATGACACTGCTTGTATGACACTGCTTGCATGACACTGCTTGTATGACATTGCTTGTATGACACTGCTTGCATGACACTGCTTGCATGACACTGCTTGCATGACACTGCTTGCATGACACTGCTTGCATGACACTGCTTGTATGACACTGCTTGCATGACACTGCTTGCATGACACTGCTTGTATGACACTGCTTGCATGACACTGCTTGTATGACACTGCTTGCATGACACTGCTTGTATGACACTGCTTGCATGACACTGCTTGTATGACACTGCTTGCATGACACTGCTTGCATGACACTGCTTGTATGACACTGCTTGTATGACACTGCTTGTATGACACTGCTTGTATGACACTGCTTGCATGACACTGCTTGTATGACACTGCTTGCATGACACTGCTTGTATGACACTGCTTGTATGACACTGCTTGTATGACACTGCTTGTATGACACTGCTTGCATGACACTGCTTGTATGACACTGCTTGTATGACACTGCTTGTATGACACTGCTTGCATGACACTGCTTGTATGACACTGCTTGTATGACACTGCTTGCATGACACTGCTTGTATGACACTGCTTGTATGACACTGCTTGCATGACACTGCTAACATGTCATACATAGTATGACTTATTCTTTTATTTCTGCTGTTCAAAATTAAGTGCTAAACCCACAAGGGTCATAGTACTGGCCTGCTGACAGCTGGAACTGACCTGCTGACAGCTGGTACTGACCTGCTGACAGCTGGAACTGACCTGACAGCTGGTACTGACCTGCTGACAGCTAGTACTGACCTGCTGACAACTAGTACTGACCTACTGACAACTGGTACTGATCTGCTGACAGCTGGTACTGACCTGCTGACAGCTGGTACTGACCTTCTGACAGCTGGTACTGACCTGCTGACAGCTGGTACTGACCTGCTGACAGCTGGTATTGATCTGCTGACAGCTGGTACTGACCTGCTGACAGCTGGTACTGACCTGCTGACAGCTGGTACTGACTTGCTGACAGCTGGTATTGATCTGCTGACAGCTGGTACTGACAGCTAGTACTGACCTGCTGACAACTAGTACTGACCAGCTGACAGCTGGTACTGACCTGCTGACAGCTAGTACTGACCTGCTGACAACTAGTACTGACCTGTTGACAGCTGGTACTGACCTGCTGACAGCTAGTACTGACCTGCTGACAACTAGTACTGACCTGCTGACAGCTGGTACTCACCTGTTGACGTCAGCTTACTGGAGAACAGGTCATCGTCATCGTCGTCATCGCTGACAAAGAGGCTGATGCCATTCCTCTGGGGTCGACTGACAGCCGGCCGGGTAGGCCTACCTGGCTCAGGCCTAGCTCTCACATTCTCCACTCCAGCTGACAACTTGGACCTCTCTGAAACACCAATAATAACCAACTCTTGACAACTTTAAAAACCTCAATATTACTTTTATTAAACATTAAAAACCTTAATGTAACTCTTGAAAACCTCAATATTACTTTTATAAACATTAAAAACCTTAATTTAACTCAAAAAACCTCAATATTACTGTTATAAACATTAAAAACCTTAATTTAACTCTAAAAACCTCAATATAACTCTTGAAAACATTAAAACCCTCAATATAACTCTTAAAAACCTCAATATAACTCTTAAAAACCTCAATATAACTCTTAAAAACCTCAATATAACTCTTAAAAACCTCAATATAACTCTTAAAAACCTCAATATAACTCTTAAAAACCTCAATATAACTCTTAAAAACCTCAATATAACTCTTATAAACCTCAATATAACTCTTATAAACCTCAATATAACTCTTATAAACCTCAATATAATTCTTAAAAACATTAAAAACCTCAGTATAACTCTTAAAAACCTCAATATAACTCTTATAAACCTCAATATAACTCTTAAAAACCTCAATATAACTCTTAAAAACCTCAATATAACTCTTAAAAAACCTCAATATAACTCTTAAAAACCTCAATATAACTCTTAAAAACCTCAATATAACTCTTAAAAACCTCAATATAACTCTTAAAAACCTCAGTATAACTCTTAAAAACCTCAATATAACTCTTAAAAACCTCAATATAACTCTTAAAAACCTCAATATAACTCTTAAAAACCTCAGTATAACTCTTAAAAACCTCAATATAACTCTTAAAAACCTCAATATAACTCTTAAAAACCTCAATATAACTCTTAAAAACCTCAATATAACTCTTAAAAACCTCAGTATAACTCTTAAAAACCTCAATATAACTCTTAAAAACCTCAGTATAACTCTTAAAAACCTCAATATAACTCTTATAAACCTCAATATAACTCTTAAAACCTCAATATAACTCTTATAAACCTTAATATAATTCTTAAAAACATGAAAAAACCTCAATATAACCCTTAAAAACATTAGAAACCTTTTGTAGTGTTATTGGAAGGCAGCAGTAGTGGTGGTGGTGGTGGGTGGTGGTGGGCAGGAAGGTGTTGTGGCCCACCTCTAAACAGGTCGTCCTCATCCTCCTCAGAACACAAACCTGCAACACAAAGAGGGTGATCGTGCAACACAAAGAGCTACTTTCCACCTCCAGGACTCAAGTCCTACCAACTAGTTCCCCTGAATCCCTTCACATTACCTTGCTTGCACTTCAACAGCATATTAACTCATAAAAACCACTTATCTCCACTAACTCCCATCTAACACACAGTGATATACCCTTGATATATCTGAGTGATAGATCTCTCTCTCTCTCTCTCTATCACACACACACACACACACACACACACACACACACACACACACACACACACACACACACACACACACACACACACACACAACAGGAAGATGAAGACTCAGATGAGTCAGAGGGATGTTAGGAAGTATTTCTTCAGCCATAGAGTTGTCAGGAAGTGGAATAGTCTGGCAAGTGATGTAGTGGAGGCAGGATCCATACATAGTTTTAAGAAGAGGTACAATAACCCTCATGAAACAGGAAGAGAGTGGATTTAGAGCAAACAGTGAAGAGACAGGGCCAGAAGCTGTGATTCGACCCCTGCAACCACAAATAGGTGAGTACACACACACAGTTAACAGTGGAGAATGAAGCAGTACAAGGACTGGAGAAACCAAACTTAAAAAATGGGGACTACACAAGTATGTATGTGGAAGTTCCTACATGAGGTGAACAAAATGATGGAACAAGTGACCACAAAGTACAGGGAGGCACTGAAGTTTGTACCAAGGTGGAACAAGTGACCACAAAGTGCAGGGTGGCACTGAAGTTTGTACCAAGGTGGAACAAGTGACCACAAAGTGCAGGGAGGCAGTGAAGTTTGTACCAAGGTGGAACAAGTGACCACAAAGTGCAGGGTGGCACTGAAGTTTGTACCAAGGTGGAACAAGTGACCACAAAGTGCAGGGTGGCACTGAAGTTTGTACCAAGGTGGAACAAGTGACCACAAAGTACAGGGAGGCACTGAAGTTTGTACCAAGGTGGAACAAGTGACCACAAGAGAGAGGACCAGTGGCAATATGAGAATGACATAGAATCAAAAGTCAAATCTGATCCAAAGTTGTTAAACAGTCAAATCAGGAGAAAACAACAGTCAAGGACCAAGTAATCAGGATGAAGAAGGAAGGAGGGGAGCTCACAGGGAACAACCAGGAAGTATGTGAGGAGCTCAGCTTACTACTAAGGGAGGTATTAACAGTGGAGACAGAGAGGCTTCCAGCAAACAGAGGGAATAGGGTGCACCAGCAAGTGCTGCACATAATGCACATAACCAAGGAGGAGGTGAAGAAACTCCTGGGTGAACTAAAAACCTGGAAGGTGGTGGGCCCAGATAATATCTCTCCATGGGTTCTGAGAGAGGGAGCAGAGGCCTTGTGTGTGCCACTAACAACAGTCTTCAATAAATCCACTAAAACAGGGCAACTACTGGAGGTGTGGAAGACAGCAAATAAGAAAGGAGACAGATACAAGGCATTAAACTACAGACCAGTGTCACATATGTTTTTTTTTTTTTTTCAACAAACCGGCTGTATCCCACTGAGGCAGGGTGGCCCAAAAAGAAAAAGAAAAGTTTCTCTTTTTAAATTTAGTAATCTATACAGGAAAAGAGGTTACTAGCTCCTTGCTCCTGGCAACACGCATTTTGAAATTGGCATTTCCTAATTTGTGAAATTGGCCAGATTACCGATTTTTGATCACCTAATTGTAGTTTAACCCGTAAACTGTCCAAACGTATATATACGTTTTTCAACATTTGAAAGTATGTAAAAAAAGTAGATCTTCTTTTTGTTTTTTTTACATTTGAAAATGTGTAAAAAAACTTTGATCTACTTTTTTTTTTGTTATATTTGAAAATATGTAAAAAAATATGTAAAAAAACATAGATCTACTTTTGTAGCGCTACACCTGGAGTTTACCTGGAGTTTACCTGGAGTTTACCTGGAGTTTACCTGGAGTTTACCTGGAGTTTACCTGGAGTTTACCTGGAGAGTTCCGGGGGTCAACGCCCAGGCGACCCGGTCTGTGACCAGGCCTCCTGGTGGATCAGCGCCTGATCAACCAGGCTGTTGCTGCTGGCTTCACGCAAACCAACGTACGAGCCACAGCCCGGCTGATCAGGAACTGACTTTAGGTGCTTGTCCAGTGCCAGCTTGAAGACTGCCAGGGGTCTGTTGGTAATCCCCCTTATGTGTGCTGGGAGGCAGTTGAACAGTCTCGGGCCCCTGACACTTATTGTATGGTCTCTTAACGTGCTAGTGACACCCCTGCTTTTCATTGGGGGGATGGTGCATCGTCTGCCAAGTCTTTTGCTTTCGTAGTGGGTGATTTTCGTGTGCAAGTTCGGTACTAGTCCCTCTAGGATTTTCCAGGTGTATATAATCATGTATCTCTCCCTCCTGCGTTCCAGGGAATACAGGTTTAGTGAACGTATATCTGCTTGGACCATTTATGGGTTAAATTGTTGAATGGGCATTACTTTGTACTTAGTTGATAAAATAGAAGGAATATTAGCAAAATAACAAAGAATCTGGTCAACTAGAACAACAGAACAGGCCTAAAATAGGTTTCAAAGTGGACAAAATCACTGGTGTGTAAATATCACCGTGACGGCAAAATTTGCGAAAGCCTAATTTCGTTAATTTTCCACTAAATTTCATAATTTTTGTTTCATTACGTCCAGAAAAACATTCTCTACCATTTCACAGGAAAAAAAAAATGAAATTTTTTTTTAAATTATTCAACCCCGGGAGCAAGTCTGAGAGCCAAGGTCGCAACCCTGAAGGAGTCTAATAGAGGCTGGTTTACACTCCACTCTTCTGAAAAACTCCTTTATGTGTATATAAATAAATATATATTATATATATATATATATATATATATATAATATATATATATATATATAGAGAGAGAGGGGGTAAAGGAGGTTTTGTGGGTAAGGGCTTGGACTTCCAGCAAGCGTGCGTGAGCGTGTTAGATAGGAGTGAATGGAGACGAATGGTACTTGGACCTGACGATCTTTGGAGTGTGAGCAGGGTAATATTTAGTGAAGGGATTCAGGGAAACCGGTTATTTTCATATAGTCGGACTTGAGTCCTGGAAATGGGAAGTACAATGCCTGCACTTTAAAGGAGGGGTTTTGGGATATGGCAGTTTGGAGGGATATGTTGTGTATCTTTATATGTTTATGCTTCTAGACTGTTGTATTCTGAGCACCTCTGCAAAAACAGTGATAATGTGCGAGTGTGGTGAAAGTGTTGAATGATGATGAAAGTATTTTCTTTTGGGGATTTTCTTTCTTTTTTGGGTCACCCTGCCTCGGTGGGAGCGGCCGACTTGTTGAAAAAAAAAAAAAAAAAAAAAAAAAATATATATATATATATATATATATATATATATATGATTGCTGATGTTATGAATGAAAAGAAGTTTGGGTGTCCTGGGCCCTAAGCGAAAAAAAGGAAGGGGG